CGCTGCTGCAGCGGAACTTTTCGGGACCATGGTGCAGCTGTACAATTTGCACCCGTTCGGGTCACAGCGAGTAGTGCCCTGCAAGCAAGAACCGTCGCACTTCTGCTGCGGCCAAGACGTGCTGTTCGTGGCCAGCACGGCGGCCAGCTGCAAGGTGGAGGTGTTCGCCGTGCACGAACAGGGCCGCTGCGAGGCCCTGGGCTCCTTCGCCACGCTGGGTCCGGTGCTGCGCATGGCGCACAGCTCGACAGGTCAGTCCCGGCCATGGCTGGGTCCGTGAGTGGTCGGCTGCAGAGGCCGGGGACCCGTCAGGCTCGAGTACGTGGAGCGGCCCTGGAGCTCCGTCGGGCGGGGATGGGGGGCTCCGGGAGGCGAACAAAGCTGCTCGGGTTCCGCCGCGGCAGCAGGGCCTGGCCCTTCCACCCGCCTCCCCCTCAGCCCCTTTCTCAGGCTGCTCCCGAGCCGGAGGTGGGGCGCGCCTCCTAGAGCGGGCTGGGCTGGGAAACGCGGGCCGGTCCCAGCGCCGGCACGCTTGGGGCCTGCAGGGAGGGTGGAAGCCGCATCTCCTCCCTTCGTCGTCTACCTACGGCTCGGTTGCGGTCTGTGCTCCCTCCCCTGCTTTTGGGGGTTGTTTCGGTGTTTTTGTTTTGCGTTTTTTGGTTGTTGTTGTTGGTGTTTTGTTTGTTTTTAGAGCACGGAGTGGGTGGTCTGTCTATTGCTTCCCATGGTCTGTGGAGAACAAAACATCTCCTCATTAATGGATATAAGAAGGCGGGGGGGTGGGGGGAACCTTGTATGCAATCACAATTTATAGAGAGGATTTACATAGGAGTTACTCTGGACCTACATATGTAAGTCCTTGCTTTTAGTGGTGTGAGAAGTGTGTGCCACCCAGCAAAGAAATTTGTGCTTTGTATTCAGTTAGAGAAAAAATGGTGAAAACTGTTTTTGGAATTTTTTTTAAGAGTTGAGCCTTGAAGATGTTCTTTGTAGCACACTACAGCAGGTAAAGAAACTGTCATCTGTTTTTTCATGATGTATAACTGCTTTCTTTTAAGGAGACTATCTGGTGACAATTGAAGAAAAAAGCAAAGCAACTTTCCTAAGAGCATATATGAACTGGAGATGCATGTCTGCAGGGAGTTCTCGCGTGTGTGTTCGGATGGTTGGTCACAAGATGGAAGAGTCATACTGTGAAACCTTAAAAGAACAGATGTCAGTTGTTGAAATGCCACTTTCAGATCCTCCACTGTGCATTTCGTGTTGTCCTGTGAATGGAGATCTTCTTGTGGGCTGCAAGAATAAACTAGTCATGTTCTGTTTGAAATACCGGGTCATAAATGAGAATTTGACTGTGTTAGATTTTGAACGCTCCTTAATTTTGCACATTAATAACCTCATTCCTGCTGAAGTTGCGTTTTGTGCCAGACATATAGCTGTAACAACAGAGCTGGATGTTCTAATGCTGAAACTGGAACTGGTCCAGCAGAGGGCAGACAGGACAGAGCAATGTGCTCAGTCAGTCAGTGCACCAGAAAAGGCTGTGGATGGAGGTAGGTGCTGAAATAATTTAATTTATTTTTTTTTTAAATCTCTAAGAATCTGCTTATTGATTCCTGTTGTTCTGAAAGTAGTCTTGAACAAGGTCTTTGCCCTTCAGAAAATATTTCCAGATTGTCCTATCACTGACTATCAGCTAAATAGTCTAAAGCATGAAAAGTTGTACCATCCTTCAGCTGGAGGTGACATTTCAAATTTCAAACAAATATGCCATCATGCTGCACACTTAGAGGATTGTGCAGCCTCTGCAGTCACACAGTTAGGTCCCTGTTTTAGGGTGCCATAATGGGCCAAGTTAAAGTGCTATTAGTTTAGTGTGCTGTGCTCAGAAAAATTATTCTATTGGTGTCACTGCCTAAAGAACTGGCTAACACAATTAAGAATGTTTCTGTTGTGATGCCTACGTACTTTTTTAACTTTCAGGCTCAGAACCTGCCATAATCAAGAAATTCTCCTTTTTCGGTCCTTTATCTTATTCCGGGGCTTACCTTAGAATTCTAGAAATCCCGGAAATAGATGTACTCAGGTTGCATTCCCATGTATTGCAAGACATCAATTTGTATATAATCAATTATCAATTCCCACTTCTCCAAAAGTTTATTTATCAGATCAACACCAACAAACCTTAGGAAGGTCCTTTCTTTGTAATTGAAGAAACTCAAAAGGATGGTTGTTTAGAAATGGAAACTGTACCTAGAAAAAATTTAAAGGTAAATAAGACTTTTCAGATAGGGACAATATAAATGTAATGCTCTTCACTGAGAAGATGGGTCTTTCCTCAGATAATGGCATCCTGCCCCTATTTTTTTTACTGCTAAAAACTACATAGAAAAGTTCCAGTTACTTTCTGAGTGTTAATAGGATTTGCTTTCCAGGACTTAAGTGAGTTAAAGATAATACAACTTCCTGTCATAGCTGCCTTTGCCTTCTCAAAACCTCTTCAGCCAAATGTCAACACTTTTTGATGACCAGCCACTTGTGGCCATTTGCCTTTGACTCACCTTCTAATGAACAGTTTACCTGTTTGGGTTTTTTTTTTACAGAAATCTTGACTCTTAAGTATTCAGACTGTTGAGGCTGTTTTCAAAATCTTGTGGTTGAAGCCAGTGCTAGCAGGGTAGATGTAACTGGAGTATTTAGTTTATATTGTCATACCATTTTCTTACTACCATGTGGAATGGTTTGAACAATTAAGGTAGCATTTTCATTGCTTAGGTGTGAAAGATGAAAGTACTTCAACAGATCCTTTACAGCTTGAATTGGATGAGTTCATCATATGTCAGAAGCCAGTGGAACTGCTTGGGGAAGAAAGTAAGCTATGTGAGATACCCATCACACTGGAATCCACAGAGTTACCTACAGAAGACACAAAGCACTTCCAAGTGCGGTATCTGCTTTTCAGGTATTACAGACATATTTTCCCTTTTATGGGTTAATTTACTACAAAAAACCAAACTGAGTTGTGTGTTTTGTCTTTCTGAAAGGAAACTCCTGATATTTTAACTCCTGGGGTTTTTATAACGTTTGGTGTTTCTTTTGACACCAAAGAAAGCCCGTTCTTTAGTATCTTGGAATATTTCACTTGGAAGGGATCTGCAGCAATCATCTAGTGCAACTGCCTGACTACTTTTGGGGTGAGCCACTATTAAAGCGCATTATTAAGGGCACAGTCCATATGCCTCTTAAACAGGGACAGGTCTAGGGCATCAACCACCTCTCTAGGAAGCCTTTTCAGTTTTTCACCAATCTTGCTAAGAAAATACTTCTTCACATCGAGTCTGAACCTTTCCTGGCACAGCTTCGAGCCTTTCCCAGGTGTCTTGTCCCAGGATCCCAGGCAGACAAGTTCAGCACCTGCCTCTCCACGTCCCTTCTTCAGGAAGCTTATTTAGTCTTCCTCTTTCATCAAAATTTCTATCAAAAGCTGAGGAAGAATGGATGTCAGGGTCCAACAGTGAATTCCAAAGCAAAACAGGGAAAAGGATGACACATAATTGTATAAAAATAGTATTAGAGGTGGCATGATGTTCCAATAGCTCAGTAGACTAAAAAGAAAGAGGAAAAAAAAGGTTAAATTGGGGTCAAAATCAATTGCGGGATTTCTTCAGTGATGTCAAACTTTGACGTGCATTTTGCAGACAAGCAGAGAGGATCTCAATATGTGGAGTTCTATCTAGGTGTGCCATGTGCTTCTTGGCATTGCTGTGCTAATGGCATTGGTAGTAGGAGTGTGCATTGTTGTTAAGTGTTAAAACGTGAGCTGTGCCTCTTGTAGCAGTGCTGTTTACTTGTCCAACATATATCATCGTCATTTCTCACTGCAGTCCCGTGTTATTTCGGACTTTTTTTCCTAGACGTTTTGCACCCGACCAGTCGCCTTTTGGGTTTTGTGAAGAGACAAAGTTGCACTCTGTTCAACTGCTTCCTGTATACCAGACAGGTATATGGATATGCATGAATGCATAATGGACTGTGTCACAGGAGACTTATGAAAGGAGAGAGCTTCTTTGTGTATCCTGTTTCATACACCGTGTGATTTCCGTATGATTTGTTTTTAAATTCAGATACTTTGTCCCTTTTCAGCAATTTAAACTGAGCTGCTGTTAACAAAAAAGTCATAATTTCTCCAAGTTCTACATAAACCTTGCACTAAAATACCAATTCAACACACCAAAAGTGTGACTAAATCAGTTTTTATCAGTTCTTTGTTGATAAATTTTGAGTTGCAAAACAGTCACTCTTTACAGAGTTAATAAAATTCTCCTTAGTTTTGCAGAATACTAGACTGCCACTTAGCCAGCTGAGGAAATCAGAGTAGTAAACCTTAATAATTACTAAGGTATTGGTTACCTTTCTGAAGGGCCTTAATTAAAACTGGAAGGAATTAATGCAGATTTTAGGGGTTCGCTAACTCAAGCTCCAAAAGACCCATGGAAGAATTTAATGCTGTATGTTAGCAGTCAGATTTTGTAGTATCATAGAATGTCCTGAGTTGGAAGGGACTCACAAGGATCATTGAATCCAACACCTGGCCCTGCGCAGGAGAACCCCAAGAGTCCCACCGAGTGCCTGAGAACATTTTCCAAATGCTCCTTGAGCTCTGGCAGGTTTGGGCCATGACCCCTGCCTTGGGGAGCCTGTGCCAGTGCCTGACCACCCTCTGGGGAAAAACCTTTTCCTAATACCCAATCTAAACCTCCCTGTCATAGCTTCATGCCATTCCCTCAGGAACTGGACATAGAATGCTCTTAGGCCTCTCCTCAGTCTCCTCCAGGCTGAACAAACCAAATGCCCTCCTCCTTTAGCCTCCCCCCCAGACTCTTCACCATCTTTGCAGCACTCCCTTAGTCTCTTCTCTAATAGGTTTATATCGTTCTTGTATTGTAGTGCCCCAAACTGCCCCCAGGACTCTATCGAGATAATGCTGCCCCAAGTGCAGAGCAGAGTGGGACAATCCCATCCCTGACCCCCAGCAATGCTGGGCCTGATGCATCCCAGGACATGGTTGGCCCTTGACTTATATTGACTGCTCACTCAGTTTGAGATGGTTTACTGTCTGCTAAGTAGCAATGCCTCATTTGACTGCAGCTGACTGAAAAGAATGAACCACTTGCTGTCTTACACTCTTGTGTGATTTACAGGCTTTGACAAGAGGGTTTGTAGAATTCAAACGCAGCTGTTACCTGCTAAAGTGGCATCCTAATAAATTCTGCCATTTCCAGCCTTTCCTCCCCATAAATAATGACCTTTTTTTTTTTGTGAGCTGCAGCTCCGGATAAGTATTCATTCCAATTTAAAAGTAATTGTCTAAAATCAGGCTTTCAGTTCATGGATGCATAACTGTAGTGACTTTAGGACTCTCTAATGCTGTTAGAACTACTGAATTTCTTCACTAGGTGCTAAATCTAAATTTTTGTGAAAATGCCTCCAAATGAGATAACATGTCATAGAAGCTTTTGACATATGCACTGAGCTTCATATAGAACTTCTTTTTACAAGCTTCTAAGAAAACTAGTCTGCAACTTGGGCATGTTTGATTCTATTACACATCATGCTTGGAATGGAATTGCCAGGGTTTTATTTATGAAGTATATAAAATGCCTTTCTCATTGTTACATCTAGGAATTTCTACAACAGCCTATGAGGAAACTGAGAACAAGAGAAAACTTCTGAGTCTCTTCTGCTTTTTCTCTTTACCTTATGTTGGATATCTCTACTCCATTGGAAAGTTAGTAGAGCTAATTTCTACTTACCAATATTCAGAGAAGTCAGAGCAGGCAGTCCTCACTCCACAGTTCCTGCATGTCATTACAAGGTACTGTGTTTATGGTTTTACTGCTAGTATGACTGTTTCTCTATGCTGCTGCCCATTTTTTTTTTTTTTTTTTTTTTTTTTCATAGCCTCCTGGAAATCTCAAGGCAGGCTCATGTGGTAGTTTGTCATACCCTACTGCTTGGGCTTTTAAGCCCATTTCTTCAAAGGAAAAACAGCTGATTCACTGTAGTCTTGGCTACTTGATTTTTTCAAATCTTAATTTCTTTCCTTCATTGTTGTGTTTTCTTCTTTTGCTCTAGTCAGAGCCTGCAGTGCTTCACAGTGCGATGCAGTGCAGCAGCAGCTCGTGGTGAGGATCCCTATATCGACACGACTGTGAAGGTACACCTCTCATTATCTCACTAATGGAATGGGGGTATGGCACTTAGTTGACTTATATTTTGAAATCCTGTTAGTTTCTGGTGGCTGAACCAATATAATAATATCCAAAATGAATGACGTATTGTATTTTGGTGGCCTGCAGATATCTCAATGAAACAACCTGTTATTGCCATATAAAATTGTAGACCATTAGTAGAATGTTTTCAAAAACATGAAAAGCTATAAAAACACTTATTTTTAAACTAAATTCCATGCTCTTCTGCATAGTCTGTTTCTCTCTCTTAGGTGTCCTTGATAAACCAGTTTTTCTAAGAGGCATGTAGGCAAAGAAGTCTGCTACCAGATACTTAGGGCATGTTTTTTGAAGGAGGGCTTTTGCCACTTGGAGGTCTAAACTTTTCACCTTCCTTAAATTGCTTATCAGTAAAAATCTATTGAATTTAAAGGTTGTGATACACATTAATAAATGTAGTAGGAAGGATAGACAGAGGTTTATTTTAAGATAGCATTTAAGGATTTCTTCTGAGCATGTAGACAGCAGACATAAAGAAACCATAGGCCAGCAGAAGTTTTATAAAATTTTCAAGAGCCAAACATGTATTCTTTGCTCTGGATAGCAAATACCAGCACATGACACAGTCTCTCCTGTCCAGTCTTCAGTCTCAGCTTTCTGTGTTTTCATTGCGGGTTACATTGAAATCCGTTGCAGTTCCTCCAGTCAGTCAACTGACACCCTTTCTGTATCTGTAGGAGTTTTGGAGAGGTGTAAAGGCTGCAGTCCTACACATTTCCGTGCTGCAGCTTGCCATCCACAGCGTGCCCACCCACTCTGGCATGGACCCCTCCATGGGCTACAGTCCCTCAGGGGCATCCCTGCGCTGGTGGGAGTCCTTCATGGGCCAGTTCCCTCATGGATGTCCCTACCCCAACGTGGAGTTGGAAGTGTTATGGTTATTTTTATTATTTGCTATTACCATTTTTCCTGCTGTTTTTTAAAGCCAGTTTTAGACCTGCCTCTTTCTGGGTCTCATTAGCCCAGGACAGTCTAGATCCTCCAGATCACTACTGTAGGCCTCCATCTCCTTCAAGAAATGTTGAGGTGTCTTCGAAAAGCAGGTTACACCTATAATGTTTTGTTGTCTTGTTTCACTGTATGTTAATTTGTAAGTGTAGTATTTTGTCTTTTTAAAGCTGTAAATTTAGAACATTTCTATGCAAATGAGGTTGCATTTTTCAGTTTTTTGGTCCACTATAGGTAACAGCATATGTTTTACATGAAAAGTGCATATAGAACAAATCAGGGAAATAATACTGGCTGTGTAAGGTAACAGTAGGCAAGCAAATATAATACTTCTATCGGTAATAGCTTTTTATAAGCAATTGAATTATAAGCAGGCAGTCCTTTAAAACTTCGCCAAATTCAAACTGTTCAGGATAAAGTTTTCCATGTTAGGCATCTACCTCAGACTCAATTATTTTGAGAAACAGCTGAAACTGTGCAGATACTTTGAAGAATGAAATTTTTTTTTTCACTCACTATTAAATGATTCTTGTTAGGCATTTATGAGTATTTTTTATTCTTGCTTAACTGAAGCACTCAAAGTTAGGAAAGTCAGTGAATGTTTTTAATGTCAGATCATTGTACAAAGCTTACTTGTTTTTTTTCTGATTTATTTAAAAACTCAATGTACATACCAAGTGAAATTACAAAACAGTCACTTTCCTTTGTAGGCTTGTCCACCTGTCACACTCGATGTCTGTACATTAAGAATGCAGCTTTTTATAGGACCAAGAGCTATCTGTCATTTCAAAAACCATATAATTCTTTTGACTAAGGCAGACACAGAAGATATTACTGAAAGAAGAAAGCCTACAAGAAGGATGCTGTAAGGATTTGTGTCTTTTAGGGAGATGGTACTTATAGCTCTGTGTACAGTGCTGAACTTGTGGATATTGCAATTTAGGAGTGGTTCTTCTGTTGAAAAACTCATTAGAAATATTTGCCTTCTCAGTGACTGAGGAGAGCAATCAAGCTTTTTTTCCCAATTGTGTTGTATTTATTGACATAGAAGAAATGAGCATAAAGCCACAAATGCTGGAAATCAGCAACATGTTAAAATAACATTACTAAGAATTTCTCATGAGAATTGAAAAAATATTTATCTGGACTAAAAACGTAGAGTACCAAAAATATGTAATGCCAAAGCTACAGGTTACAAATATGTTGCAGTACAAAATTAAATGTCTTATCTTAAGTGTCTACCTGGCTAAGGGTTCTTTCTGAGAAAGTTGCAAACATCACTGTAGTTATCCATGACAGAAGTTGGATCAGATTTAGCCCCAAGTTACTGTTGTAGCATGTGTATAGCCAGAGGCATATGTGACTTTTATGGGTTTCCATGGCAACTGCTATTCCCTTTCCATTTTTGAAGGCTTTTCATAAACAGCTAAGCAGCTATTCTAAACAACTATTCAGAAACCACATTTAAAGTCAGTTTAAGTTAATTAACAAGGGTGGGACAGCTTTAGTTGATTGAAGAGTTATTTGAACCAGTATTTCTTAAAGTCTAGAGCAGACATTATTCAGAAGAAGAAAAGGAGAAACCTGTCAGGAGAAATAAGTATTCAAAATACTGTAGTTTTCTTGTATAAAGCACATTTTCTGCCAATTGTGTTATTTCACATACTCTAATTGGCATTTGCAGAAGATATACTTTTTGCCTTCTGTAAAGAAAGTAGGTTGGACAATACTAAGCTATGTAGCACCATCATTTTAAAATAAAGATGTAAACACCTTTACATCTGTACAGTTAAAATAAAATTAAAAACCAGAACAAAAAGAGTCCGTTTTCCTACAGTGTTTTTAACCTTAAGGCCTTACAGATGGAGCCAACATTTTAGAATAAAAGCATTCTGATACCTCTTTATGCTATGTCTTGTCAAACGCTTGGACAGAGCTGCAGGGACAAACATCCGCTAAGTCCTTATAGGAGATTAAACAGCTAATTTAAATTACTTAACTGTTCAAGGTCTGGTTGGATAAGGCCCTGGGCTATCTGACTGGTTCAGTGGGTGGCATCCCATGCCTATGACATGGGGGATAGAACTAGATGATCTTTAAGGTCCAAGCCAAGCCATTTGATGATTCTATGATTCCTGATACTCCCTGGTGTTAAGCACAGGAGAAGATGTAGTGGACACTTCTGATGATGACTCTGTTCTATGAACATGCCTATCCCCGTTCTGTTATTAGCCAGTATGACATAAATTCACAGCTTAACTCTCCAGCACTTACTACTCTGCAAATATACCTATTTATGCATTTGAATTACAAAGTGAGTGGGGGTTATTTGGTTGCATAATGTTTGTTTCAACGCTGACAACTCAACTCTTTTCTTTAGTTCCAGAAAGACTGAAAGCATCAAATCCAGAACAAATTCTGAGTCAGAGCCTGGTTGGAATTTATATATTATAAACACTGTTTCAACAATTCAGCTTTACAGAGAAATGGTATTGCCCAACTCCTGCTTTTGTTGTTTGCTAACTAAAAATAAGTATTGTTAATTAATCTCTGAATTTGCTGAATGTAGTGTAATGTATTTCTTCTGAGTAGCCCATAATCCTGTTTCAAATGGCTGCTGTCCTCATTAGAATTGTTCCTGTATATTCTTAATTTTTGTCAGGAGCCTAAGTATATCCTGTGTCTGTTCTAGGTAGATTATAGTAGAACTTACGAAAATGTTAAAACTGAGAGCTGCATCCATCTTCTAAGTGAGGCTCACTTACTGGTCAGAGCAGCTATGATGGACCCTCATTTCTTTAAATCAGATGAGAAGGAAGATCTTCTAAAAGCATTCAGAGAAAGTTGTGCCTTCTTAGGAGACTGCTACAGCAGGTATGTTTTAGATGTCAAAGTGGCATAGGTGAGCTGTGTTTCCAGTAGTGTAACCTTAAAATGAAAATCCATAATTCTTTGCTATTTTGCATTAGTACTGTGTATTTAATACAAACTTTTGTGTTTTACAAAACCAGCCTAACCTAGTCCTCTCTTCAGTAGCTGGTTGTCTTTATTGCCATTGAACAGAATTTAAGTACTCAGAATTATATTGAACTCAATGGAACTATGTTGAACATGAACAATATATGCAGATAACTGATGTGCCTGCGACTTAGTTTGATGTAGTTTTAATTCTTACAGTGATGGCAAAAGCATTGCCCTTAGTTGTTTTGCTATTTTTTTTCGTTCCTCTCTATTTCCTTCAGGTTTGACACAAAGGATTACCACCTTGCTTTGCCATACTACAGAATGTCAGGTTTATCCATGACTGAAGTTTTAAAGAGACTAGTTTCAGAAGGTGATGAAATGCAGACATATGCGAAAGGATTTATATTTTACTTAACTCATTCTCTTAATGAAGACTCAAATGAAGAATTAAGTAAGGTAGAAAAAAGTTGATTTATTTGTAATCTGCTAATTTAGTTCTGATTTTAAGAATTGTGTGTCAAATATTAATCACTTTCCCTTTGAAAATGCTGAACTGCTTTTTTTTAGTTTTACAGTTATTCTTTTTCACGTTATTTTTATTTTCCCATTTTTGTTGAATAGCAAACAGCACCTGTGATGCTTTGGACTGTGTTCAAGCAACATCTTACAGGTTTGGCTATCATGATGCATGTTGCTATCATCTGGTTCCCACTTGCACAGAGACACTTCTGTTTTAAGAAAGCCTTGCCTCAAATTTCTGTCATCTCTCATTTCTGTAGCAAAACAAACTGTTTCTTTTATCACAGGTAAATTGTAAAGATTGCTAAAAACAATTCATTTTGGTGGTAGATGTTCTTCTTAGCATGCCAAAATATGGGTTGAATCACTACCAGTTAGCAATCCTTTACTATTAGCAGTAGAGTGGCAGGAAAGGCGCTGTGATTTGATCGCTAAACTGAACTTGTCCATTTTAAAAAAATACAAACCAGTCACAAAAAACAAAACAACAGAACTGCACTATTTTAATATGCCATAGAAGAATGAATATCTGAAGAGGTCTGAGCTGTCAAATGACTTTTATTTCAATAGGAATCAGGAAATAAAGTTCTCCAGATATTCTATCTTGCGGACCCGGTGCAGCTGCCTCACATCCTTTGCAGTCCCAGCATGAGAAACATATGTCCTTTGAGAGCTGTGAAGTATCTTCAGAAAGTAGAAAAGATGATGCCATCAGCAGTCCTGACACTTACTAAGGCTTTCTTGGCTCTGAAAATGGGAGACCTAACAATGTATGAACAGGAAATGGACTCCTGTAAGGAGGTAAAGTATGCCAAGAACATGAGCCAATCATGCTTTACAAAGTCCAAGTCAATAGTTTGACTTGTAGTTGCATTTTACAGTAAAGGAAACTTCCGGTCATTCCACTTCCTCCTGATATGCTTTGTAGGCTCCACTCAGTGTCTGCAGTAACAGTAGAATGGGGGGCTGACATACATTGGGACTGTAGAGGTTACCCTGCAGGTAGGTAATTCTTGTCTTGGCAAAGACTTACAAAACAAGCTTATTTTTATAAAAAGTTTTTTAATAAATTTTGGTGCTCTTAATTCTCGATCAATTAGATGTTGTTTTACTGGGTTGGAACCAACTCTGCCAGTGCTCTTCAGCTCTTCAGCTGCATGGGAGGATTGTATAGTAGCATTTCTACACCTCTTCACCTGAAATTAATATTACCATCAAAACACCATCTGTATTCAAACAGCCCTTATAAAATTGATCTTGAAAGAATATTTGTCCATTGTGCTCACAAACTGAAGTTTCTGTATACTGTTATATATCTTATATGGAATCAAAGCACATAACTCTTATTGAGACCAGATCAGAACCTATTTCAGAGCTGTCAAAGTAAGAATTCCTCATCACTGGGGGCAAAAATGTTAGTGGAGCTGTCTCTTTAATAGATGTGCACATGTGTGTGACCAGTCTGTAATTACTTCTTGTTGAGTTTGTTCAAGACTGTGGAATATTCAAAGGTGATAGAGTTGGAAACAGAGACTTCTTCTTATAGTGGGATACTGGGAATCTAAACACTTTTGAAATAAATGGGTAGCTGTTTCAAAGTTAGATATCATGCTTTGGTGGAAGAAGTCCTTCAGAGTTTTTAAAGTTAGTTGGTTTTGAGTTGCAAGGTAGGAACTGTGGGGAGCTGTTTCAAAAATTATATTCAGCATCGTCGGCTTTTGCAGCACTATCAAATGAAATTGCCATGTTGTGAACAAACATACAGTGCATTAATGTTATTTTGAGAATAAGGTGACTTTGGTTTCAGTGTTTTTGGTTGGGTTTTCTTTCTTTCTAATCTGATCTATAAAATATGTTCCACTGCACTTCACCTTTAAAAAATCTTTTTATTTCAAAGTAGGAAAAAAGAAGCACTTTCAGATAGCTAATCTGAACTTTTCTTCTAGGTCTGTCATATATTTCTTGTGTAATTAATTTAATTTACTTAGCCATTATTTTTCCACTGTCTTTAAAATGGGAATAGTATTTTGTTACACTCACCTTCAAAAGCACTCATATGACTTAAGATAGCTTCTTGGTGCACAAAGTGCAGCACATTTTGATCATTGTTTCAGGGGTATTTTCAAAATAAAAATCACACTTTAGCAAAGTAGTCTACTGAAATGTAGCAAAGTAGCCTCTTGAAAAGTCAGCCAGTGATTTTTCAAACCACCCTGTATATTAAAATGTCTTGGATTTCTTTGTGAAATCCATTTTATGTGCTCACTAACTCTATCTTTCAACAGCATATTACTTTCAGTGTTTAGGCACAGGGCCTGTTTTTCAGGACTTGTTGCTCCAAAATGTGGTTTGGATCTCTGTTTCTGGAGAGCTACTCTGAATTGCAGAAAGGATTTACTTTCTTCCCTGACTGCTTCCATCTAAATTTCACTACCTGAGGAAATACTGAGTTTACTGAGTAGAATCATCCATATATTGAATTCTTTACCTTATTTATATCTAATTATGTTTGTAGACAACACTGGCTTGTGGCTTCATTGGGCAACCACGACTCCTGCATCAGCGTAAGGAAGGAATTGTTATGCCAACTGAGTTTGCTGTTCACCTGAAGGAGATGCAGCCTGGTTTATTGGTGGCTGCCACTGTGGCTTTACATGAGAACCGGAAAATTGAACTAGAAGAAGCAGATACCTTTTTCAAGGTTGGCTGGTGATCATGTTTTTGCTTCTGTTTTTTTCATAGTGACATTATTGTGGGAAAGAAAAACAGCCTCAGTTGCTCCTTCACTTACATTTCAGCATTTCTGCAGAGAGAGGGAGATGAGGGTTGGAGATATTCTAGTCATGATAGGTGACCTTCTGGAACAAAACAGTGGTTAAGTGGGGGGGAAAAAAAAAATCCATTAAGTTCTTTGCTTTTACCCTATCATTTGAATGGAAAATACCCTGATCTCAGAGCCCTTTCAGTGGCTTCCTAGTGATAGAGCTTCCTAAGGCCACTGAAGTGTAACAGAACTTAGATAAATTAATTCCATAAGCTCCTTTTAAATAAATCTTTAGAGCATCTAAAGAATCGGGCTTAAATTGAAGGTATATCATGTTCTGATGAACTGTATAAACTGGTGAAAGAAAAGTGTCTGCAGTTTTAAGAAGAAATACTAATAGTTTTTTTAGTGTCCCTGAAGCTTGCTTTCTTTAAGCTGGGAATAGACAAACCTTTTTTCTTTTATCTACAATGAATAGCAACACTTGGGTTAAAACGTGTTCGTCAGTGTACGTGTGCTGCAGTCTTTACTGTATCTGTTTACTGTGAAGACTTGTATCAAAAAGAGCAAGTCATGAAGTTCCAATTAGAACAAGTGTTGTTTAAAACCATTTGGAAACCAAGTAAAAATCCTTTTTGCTGGCACAGCAGATCTTAAAACATCTTCCTTGTGAGTCCTACCATGATACTAGCTGAGCTACACAGTAGATCTTATCATGGACTATAGAGGCTTCTTCTGAAAACACCTACTTGTCTGTTGACATATGTAAAAATCCTCCTCATTAGCAGTCTGTAAATACTTGCTGCCAGTTGTACTGACATTTCTGGCAGTGGAGTAAATCTTGAAAAATCAAGTCTGTTGGTCTGAATTGATTACCTTAAAATCACTTAATGAACTTTTTACTTTGCATATCAGTGTATTACATAGAATCACAAGACAAAAAAGGATTCAGAATTGCGCTTCTAGTAAAAGTGAAAAACTGTTCCTCTTTTCTAACTTTTGCTACTAAAAATCACCATAGTCTAACTTGCTGTCTTCTGTCATTTTTGTTCTTAGATGCTGTGTAATAGTAGTGAAAACACTATTCCCCAGCTCCTGGTAGATTTCTGGGAAGCTCTTCTTGTAGTGTCGTCTCAGGAAGAAATACTTCAGGAACTCCTATTGAGGGTTACTTCTCAGTATGTTTGGAGAATATCAAGGAAGCAGCTTCCCGAAACTAAGCCATTGAAAACAACAGAGGATCTAGTAAGTTGTGAACCACACAGAGGAAGTTTTGGGACTGCAGTGTTCTTCCAAGATCTATCCTAGTACCATCCTTAATACTTTAATTCTAGACAGTTTATCTCTTAAAAGAAGCAAGTCTGAAATCAAATAAGGTGGTGTGCAGTTACAAATCAGTATTTCTGTCTTTGGCCAGTCCTGCTCCTTGGGGACATTTGCAAATATACTTCTAGCAGGAATTTCAGCTGTGGATAGAAATTAGGGTTAAAATGAAAAAAAAGGGAATTTTTCAGGTGGATTATTTACAATTTTACAAAGCTAACTAGATGAGAAAATTGTGTGAATAATGAATTCTAAAGAATTACAAACAGGAAAGCTGAAATACAGAACTAAATAGAAGTTTCCAGTTTATTTGGGTTGTTATTATTATTGTTTGTTATTAAATTATACAATCCAGACAAGAAAGGGTACGTGCTCTTCTAAATTATGGTATTTGAGATTAAAATTTTCTTTACTCACTGTAAGTTTCCTATGGAACTGTCACTAATAGAAAGGTTTCTTTTATTGCAACTTGGTTCTGTCTTGTATAGATAAACTCCTGTCATCATTTTGGGTTGATTGTCCCATGGGTAACTTCTATAATGTCAGTGGGTTGTTCATCTGACAAAGATTACCATGGAGACATCTCAAGACTACAGGTATGAAACAGGTATTACGTCTTACTGCTTTATATCTTAAATTAATTCTACAGATGTTCATGTTTGTATGAACAACTTTCTCCAGTGAGTCTCCTTCTTCTTCCCCCCTAAGTTATCCAAGTCAAGATAAAAGGGCAACTGAAATGATGGGAGGAAAAAAATACTTAAGAGTTCCGCTGATAGCAATATTTTCATTTGCATCTACTCTAAACTTGCTTTCTCAGTTTTCAGCAATATTTATTAAGGGAAGTATTAATTCAGGATTATTCCAACAAGTAAGGACTTCTGTTCTAAGGTTATGGTTAGCATTTTTTTGCAACATTTGTCTTAAATCCAAACAATACTTTCTCTTCTTGTCTTCAGTCTCTTTTATGTAGTCAGTCAATCAATATAGCATCAGCTCTGCCTATTTTGGAGCCCCTGACAGAAGCTGACAATGTTGGCCTCACCATCCGTGTCCTCAGCAGTACCCGTCTGGGCAAGTATGAGGAAGCCATCGACCAGCTTCTCAGAAGGTGTCCTGATGCAGCTGTGTTCTACGCTCAGCATGAGCTGAAAGGTGACAGTCAGGTGGGCTACTATCAATACAGTTATTCACTATTGTTTTGGGTTTTTTTTCCCTAACTGAAATTCTGTATGTACAGAGGGACTCTGGATGGATCACATTGCCTAGCTTTCAGACAAAGTAAATTCCTTAGCTTGCCTTCAACCTCTTCCTTGGCATTTTAATTCCTTTACTCAGTCCCCAGTAATGTAATGGAATGGAATATTTTTTCCTCCAGTTTCTTTTGTCACTTACTCTATTCATTATAGTAAACTTAAAGCATTGTGTTTTTTACATGGAAAAGTGCCTCAGAAAAAGAGAGCGATATGACCTTTTTCTACTGTAAATGAAAAGCTACCTAGCTTCTCACTAACTGACTATGTTCTAAATTGTTTGTCAGTGTTTATAATATAAAATCTTACTACTAAGCTAACTGATAAGGAAACATGGTCCTCCGAATAAAATTGCATTTAAATATGTTCTATCTGTGTTCTAGTGACATCTTCTGACCTTCTAGCAACCAGAATGCTACCAATACACTAGTGGAAAGATTATGTTCTTATGTCCCATTTTCCCATTAGGTGTCTATATATTTTTAGTGTTTGAACAGATTTTATTCTAGTGTTCCAGGAATGCAGGAGTTTATTTCCATTTCCCAGTACAGTGACTGGGACAATTAATTGTATGCAGCTCTGCTGACCGGAGTCAGCAAAGGTGATCTCTAGCAGAAGGATGTACTAGAACTCTATTCAGAACCAGATTTGAGCTCTTTATTCTGATCTTAAAAAAGGTTCTGTGTTTTTTTCCACATTAGAGTAGAATGCGAGGCTGCAGTACTGAATCTGAACACAAGTGAAAGAAAATAGTTGCCAAGTTTTAAAGGAGGAAAGAAATCCCTTTCCTTCTGTCCATTCTTATCTACAAAATTGTGCACAAAGCCTAATTTACTTCTAAATTGTTGGAATGAGACAAGTCAGGTCAGGAGACAAAGCAATGCCACCACTTTCCATGGAGCTGTTCTGAAGGGAAAAACATCATCTCAGACTGCATTGGTATTGCTAATTATGTGATTTTTTTTGTCTTCTAAACTTTTTTCTATAGAGCTGTGGAGGACACTGTGTAAAGATTTTTTAGCAGAGAAAAGTCGCCCTGAAGATTGAAAAACACAACATAAGTAAAATCACTGCATTTCAAACCATTATATAAACTAATTATTGAGTTCATAATAACTGACCTGTATTTGTACACATCTGAGCTCAGTTCAGGGTATTTTTAGCAGGTCTTTCATACTCTAATTGCAGTCCTTGTTGATTTACACTTTTGCTATGGGGTTTTGTGGGTTAGGCTCTGTGGTGGAAGAAGCTGCTTCCTGAACTTTGCAAGAGAACTAGACTTACTGGAAATGACTGCCCTGTTCTTATTTCATCACTCAAAGGTAAATCAACTGGTTGTAACTCAACTCCAGAAGGCTTTGTACATCAGCTAATTTTCTTAATAACTGTTCAGACTAATGACTACTGGTACAATAATTTGGAAAAAAAGGGGGTCTTTTTCTTTAGTTAAAGCTAATGCTGTTTAGCATACTTTCTAGTCATTAGCACAGAATTCTGCAATGAAAGTAGTGTAACCTCATAAAAATCATGGCATTCATTTTGTATCGAAAACAGGTAAGTTGTTGTAATCATACTCTTTCTGTATAGGTCAAGAATGGACACCATTAAGAAACCTGCTAAACAGAACTAATTGTGATTAGTTTTTTTTCTAAGCTAAATGACTTTATAGTTCTTATGTAATAGGTTGCTGTCGATAACAGAGGAGGCTTAAGTGTGTATTGATGATTAGGTCATAGAGTGTAAAAAAGAGTGTGTTAATACTAGAAGTAGAGAAATCCACCCTAGTAGTTCTGTAGTCCTACTATTACATATTTGTAAGAAGTTAATCATATTGTGTGTAGCTGAGGGGCCAGTGTGATTGTTTTTACAAATGAGGAATAGTAAATAAAGCACATATATTGTTAAAAGTGTGCCATTGGAATGCCTGAGAAGAACAACACTGTGGGATTGGATTGCATTGTGCAGCACAGATTGCCGTGCTTTATCATAAAGTTCTAGTTTCTGGTGCTAGCAGTTTTTCTTTGGGTTTATTTTCATGCAGTAACTGCTGTAATTGCTTAAGAATGTAATATTACAGAACTTGGTCTAAGAAGCTTCTTGCAAAGCATCCAGTTTAACAAATAGTGTTGAGTTAGGGTACTAATAATTGCTTTGCATTTCATACAAAACGTGAAATATTAGAGCAGACGTGTAGACCTAATGAGTCAAGACAGAAGTTTTTACTGAAGTCATAATTTCAGTTTACTTTTTAGATTTCACATAGTTGTATATGCGCTCAAATGACTATGTCTCAAATTTAATTCCGGTTGCAATATTTAAATAATTTGATGACTTTATTTAATAATTACATTGTTAATGCTGTGGGGCTTTTTCTGTGTCTTAAACTCAAAATACCTAAACAATATTTCTTCCCCTGCTCTGAGCAGAAACTTTATCAATTGTTGCAATGGAACTGGAGCTAAGGGATTTCCTAAGTGTTCTACCAGAGGATGGGACTGCAGGATTTTTTCTGCCACATCTTCTTCACTGCAGCCAGGGGAAGTTGCTGACCTAAAATGATGACCTGTGGATCTGCTATCCATTCAACTCCAAAAAATGTGCTGTAATAAAAAAGTAAATGCAACAAGCAGTAGAGCTCCTTATTAGGTACTGTGGGACTCCCTTCACATACATCCTATGTCAAGTACTGAAGGACAGCTTTTTCCTGAGGCAAAGCATCTATTTTGAAGCTAATTCTGGTGCCAAAGCAGGTGGGGAATACAGATTCTGCAGTCCAACTGAACATACAGTGTTCACTGAAAGTAAAGTTGAAGGTCAGTCTTAAATCTTTGTTAGTTGGATCGTGGACCTAGGGAGGAATTCAGGCTCAGGCATGTCTATCTACGAGTAAAAGTGAGTACCTACTCTTCCAAGTGGAATTGAGCCCAACTGACTGATACTGCAATACAGACATTTCCTTGAAATCTAGCTGGCAAAATTGGGCTGCTGCTCTGTCATCTTGGTTACATACCCAGGCAAGTGTTACACTGAGAATGTTTTAATTTAGCAGTTCGCAAGAAAAGGCGATTAATCAAAAAGAAACAAGTGGAAGATATGGACTGTGGTTGGCTTGCTGGTCTTTGTTCTCTTTCTTCCATTATGCTTAGTCAGTAGACAGTATTTGAAGTATCACTAGGCCATAAATACAGCCAAAAACTCTTATTTCTTCTAGGGTTTTTGATAAGCATCTCAGGTGCTTGTGTATGTGCGTACTGATGTTTGTTTGTCTTGGGAGCAGAAAGCGTCTTTTTGCTCCTTCAGAGCTGGAATTCAGTCATAATAAGCTGTCACACATATTTATAACTTTCTTATGAATGTAGTTTGGGGTTTTTTTGACAATTACCAAAAATACAATGACTCCCATGATCCCATTACCATCTAAACCATCTAAAGGCCTAATTAGCTGACAGTGACTCCATAAAAATGTTTTCACTGGAGTTGCAATGTTATTTAAACCTGTAGAAGTCAGTCAGAAGAGATCGTCTATATTTCAGCAAAAATACATTAACAATAAAAAGATAAAAGTAGTTTAACTTACATAAGTAGTTTAACTTACTTACATAGCATTCCTGCTATATGTAAAATGAATGATCTGATTTACTGGTAGGTATTATGCTGGTTTCAGTATAATCTTTTAAAAAGACCGAAGTGATTTAGGCTTGTTACAGAGAAGCAATTTCACTCTTACAGTTATAAAGCCCAGATATCTTGCTTTCCCTGTCTGCCCCATACATCTTTCTCATTTAGCACAGATCTAATATGAGGAGTTGGGTTGTTGAAACACAACCGTATCACTCTTACTGTTCTCATTTTTGACTAGCATCAGCCATCCTCTATTACTGCTGCTTACATCCTTCAGGAAACACTTCCTTTTTCCTTTGCCAAGGGCTGCAACAACAAAATGGTTCCACTGCAGGAGTTACTTAAGAGTCATCAGAGCAAAGCTCTTCAGTACCATAGTCACCAAATTTTGGCGTTCATGGTCTGCTTTTCATGAGGCTTATTTCAGCCTAATTTTGCCTTGGAATTATTTTCATAACAGAAAACCAAATATTTTAAATGCACATTCTTGAAAGATACTACTGAATAAAATTGTAAAGTAATTCAACAGAAATAATAGAACTATTTTGTTAACTGCTCAATTATACAATACTGTGTATCTTTTCAGAGTGAACCGATGGATAAAGTAATAACCAAATTCCTGTTTTCTAAGCAGTTACTACAGACATACCTATCTAGTAAAATGTGACAGTATGGTGACCAATACCCCAAATTTTGCCATTATTCAGGGTTATTTGCAAACTTTAAAAAAAGTACATTTCATTAGTTCTTCCATGTTCTTCAGCTCCTAAATAACATGCATTAGCCATCACCTAGAATATTGCAAGATACTGTTTTTATTTATAGAAACATATATTTATAAGCTGTTACATCCATTCAGCTGTGTTAGCCTGTGGTTCTTTTCTTAGCCATGGCCACTATGTGAAATCTTCCAAAACCTGTAGAGATGAGTGGTCTAGAAGAGAGTATTTTCCAAGAAATGAAGGTGGACCTTGGAGGATCACTCTGTTAAAATTCTTTTATCATTCTTGAGTGCCTGTCATGCCTTTACAGTTGAACAGATTGAATAATCTTGGGAGCAGAGACTGTTTGACTGGAGGGGGAAAAAAAAAGCTTTTTGTTACATTTCATCAAAAGAACTGTCTGTGCATGCGGCCAACAGAGTCCGAAACTAACAGAGGATCTGAGTACCTTCTGAACATTGTGAGTTAGGTTTAAGAACAATAGTGCACTTAAGGGTACATTTTAATGCCATCTAGATGCCTAATAATAAAAAAAACAACATACTGCTAGTCAAAGTTGAAAGTCTGTTTTTACATGTCTTTCTGTGTACTTTTAAATTAGCCTTGTTATTGTCTGGAGGTCTGGCATAACATACTCTAAATCAATTTTACTGTTTATAAAATAGAATTAGGTGTTGTTTCACATTCCAATGGTTTATCAAATAGAATTAGATTTTCTGTTTAACATTGCATTCTATATTTTTAGTATTGCTATAAATGTAAATCATATAGTTGCATATATATACAGACATCACATATTTTGAATTATTTCTGCTGTTCTTTTTCTGTTGATACCTGTTATGCTCTGTCTTTTGAGTAGTGGAAAATGTTGGTTTTAAAATTGTATTAAGTTTTTAGAAGCAAGAACTTTCAAAATTCTTCAACATTCATGATTGTTCACTTGTAATAGTGCTAGAGCAAGGTAACAGTGTCCCTAAAGCTACAACATGCCCTTGAGAAAGCAAACACTATTTTAGTTTTCCAGTACTTCAGCTGTACAGGAATGATGAATTCAGCTGTGCTTGTTTTGAACAAAGATTGAGATGAAGTGTGACACTACTGGCACTTCTTGGGTACAGAAATACTCTATCTCATGAAGAATTACTTTTAAATAAAAAATTCTGTCACTTAGATTTCATGATGGTAAGGTGACGTAATAGTCAGTTACCATCCAGTCCTTCAGCTACTTCATTTTCCTGATCAGTGCTGCGGGAAGTATGACCAGGTGGCCTGCAACATCTTGGCTTCTAGACATGTAATATTGCTGGGTGTCTGAACTGGTTCTAAGTATGCTGGCCTGTCCGTGAGCCCCATTGTGCATCTTAAAACAACAAACATTACTAAGCTAGATGGCTCTTACCTTCCTTCGGGAGCACAGTGTAGGTCACTTCCATGCCTGCATGGATGTGGTCAGTAACATGACAATGTAACAGCCAGGTTCCAGGGTTCTGTGGGATCATTTCCACAGTTTGAGATGTCCCAGGGAACAGGTCAAAGACATCTGCCCGGTAAACCCCTGTTTGCTTTGAGACAAAATGAAGCAACAGTTAAACTGTGTTAAACACACTTTCTGTGTGTCATTTCTACTGCAGCATCACTTTGTACATCCACCTCATGCTCAAAAGTTTAAAAAACTAGCAACTAAGTGGAAACAAAGGAAGACTACAGCTTTTGTCTTACCACAGCCATGAAAAATTCACAATTATCTTGTTGAAGTAACTTCTGAGGTTACTAGTGAGCAAATGCCACTGGCAGATATTCTCTGTCTCTTGTATGTTGATCAAATGTTGAGGCATAAGACCCTTGTGGTCAACATACTAGCCCTGCTTAATATTGTAATGCAACTTCTCACCATAAATAACAGTCCTTGGTATTTGACTTACCTCTCATTCTTAACACAGCAAGAAACAAGAGAAAAAGACCTGGTACCTTGTAGTCAAAGCTGTGGCCATGGAAGTGTACTGTGTGAATGTCTATCTCATTGCCCATTCCCATCAAATACCAGCTGACATTATCTCCAACATGCATAGTCAGGCCATGCAAATTTCCAAACACCTTTCCATTAATGCCTAAAAAGAAGGAAAGACAGAGAAAACCAGTAAGATTTTGTGTATTGTGTATTGTTCATCTCTAATATGATACAGATTGAAAGATTTGAAAGCCAGTGCCAGACAAAAGTAATGGCTTTGGACAGTACATAATGAATGGTTTATATTCCACATTAAGCTAGAAAGAAAGACATAATTAAGAAAATTTCTTTGCTGTACACCATTGCTAATATTGCCATTTTTAAAGAGCTGTGGGTATTGCAGATCTTTAAAAAAAGATCTGCAATTCTTGTAGATCTGTGTAAAAGGGTAAGCTTTACAAAGACACACTTTCAGGATGCACATAGTCTTTTCAGCATATCCAGAGCAGTTGTTTACTGACTTAAATCAGGACTTCAAATTCCATTTTTATTCTTTCTCTACTCAAAACTTCTATATGGGAATATATTAGGGTGTGTTGTTGTTGTTGTTGTTGTTTTGTTGTTGTTAAGGGTTTTTTTAACTTGTGAAAAAAAAAAAGTCACTCACTGGCATTAGCAGTGTTTGCATACAGTTTGAGTAAGATTTTTTAGGCATTCTGTCGTGGAACTGGAAATTCAGGGGGCTGAGAAAGTTGAATTAATATGCAGTAATTTCAAATACAGAGTTTTATAGAATTTTCAGAGCTATATGAACTAAATTGGGAAACATACCATGCATTTTATTACTTTCAAGGAATTCCTCATCCTCTTTGTCAACAAGGTGTGGGTTGGTAGAATACATTTTAATGTTTTCGTCCAAGTACCAAGACTCATTTTCATCAAAAACCATAAAGAGAAGAGCAAATTGAACTTTCTTTTTAGTGTGAAATGATGGCAGGTAATGTTTATGACACACAACAAGTGTGCCTATTAATCCACTGTAAGTGTCCTGAAATGAAAAATGAAAACCCACATAATTGCAAGATGTAACTAAGCAGAAGTACTTTTAATGGCATACATGAATCCTTTTACTATCTTCATAGCTGTCAGTATCTAGGAATAAGGGCAGCCAGTGTCAAATGAAGTTGCCTCATTTTCATCTCTCGATACAAATAAACATTTATTCCGTATTAATTTATTGCTCTTTTTCCAAACCATTTTTAGAATTTTGAGCTTGATTTCCATTTAAAATAAACTTCTTGACACTTCATTTGTGACAAAGGCAAGAATACATTCATCTCTGTTAAAAATACTATGTTAAGCTAATTAATGCCTGGTAAAAAATGACAGAGTTGTGTTTCACAGTTGCATTTTAGTTTCCCTTCAAATGACTGATTAGATATTAAGCAAGCTATAAAGTGTTAGCTTTAAGAAGGGAATGTGAGATGATCTATACCAACAGCAGAACAACCAGGAAGCAAAACAATGAATGTGTGTAGTACTGAATTTCTTCCCTGACTTTCGTACGATTTTCCTTGAAGAAACATTTAAATTCAAAGGTATGGTAATAGGGGAAATAACTTGGTAGAGAAAGCAGAAAAAGTTTCAAACTTATCTCCTTCGGCTATATCTATGTTGGAGACATGAACAAAACTGATATCAAGAATATACCTTAACAATGTCCACTGTTGAATGGTACGCCCATGGAATACAGTGTGAATCTCCTTTTTCAGGACTAGATCTCTCTGGGATTTTCCAGACATACATTTTTGTTTCACCTGAATTAAATAAGTATCAAGTTAATTTTTGAAGTTTTCAGTGTGCTGACCTACAGGAGGTCATCCTGAAGCAGATGTTATCTCCATTTACAGGTTATGTAGTTGAAGTTCCCCTTCCCATTTACTGCACTGGTTAGCTGATGACCCCTTCTGCAGATCCCTGATTCTTCTTAACAGTGATTTGGTTTTTTTTTCGTGTGTGTGTGTGAATGTGTCTGCACTGTCCAGTTCACCATACTTAATAAAGTCAATTGTAACTTTTGTAAAGATCATAGAGGAGCTAGAGAAGTTATACCATAAGCTGTGCTTTCCCTATGGAGCCAAATCTGTTGGCTTTCATGAAATGTGTAGCCACATTGTGTCAAAAAATTACTGATCAGTCAAGGATTATGATACATAGCAATAATTAGCAAGGGCATTTGAACTGTAGGAATATTTGTCATAATCAGCATCAAAAATTGAAGAACTTGAGGCGAGACAAACAACAGTTACATCTTTCCTGCTATCTGGGAGCTTGTTAAATTTTACCAGAAGTCTTAATGTTACCTGCAGGAAATAAAAAAGGGTGGTTTGTTACCTGGGTTAGTTACAGCAACAACAGAACTGTCTGTTTTCACTCCATGGGCATGGATAGAATAGGGTCTTGATGCTAAGTTCTTAAAAACTATTACGATTTTATCTCCAATATTTGACACAAGCAATGGCCCTGTTGGATTGAAAAGAAAGATTAACTTGGTTTTACAAAACATCAGAGCAGACAGAAAGCCAGCTTGTTGTGTTCAAATTCACAACATTGGCTTATGATTCAGCTGAAACCTGTATAATGTTCACTATGACATGCCAACTTGAGATGTTAAAATTAGGCCTCTACTTCTCAGCACCTACTCCGTACCTGAAGTCCGTTTGGATGTTGCTTCCCAGTTTTATGCTAACTTAGGAAAAACTGATCTCTGATCAGGCAGCAAACCAAAAGGGTTTTTTTTCCCTTGTAGAACAAGCTGTGTTATCTTGCAGGGAAAGCACCACAATAAAGGTAGCAATTCCAAGTAGGTTTTCCATTTATATTGAGGCAATTTTTGTGGGTAGAACTGTACTCAATATTATTCAAAATTGTATCTTTTGATCTGTGTCACTACATTTTTTGTGTTTTCAAAACTGAACACGATGACTTTACCTTGAATTTCCAGGTGCTGCTGCTCCTTTGCTCTGTTTTTGAGAGTACTGAATGTCTGATCGGTGTACTCACGATATACTACCTTTTTGTACTTTGAGCCAATGAATTTGTCATCTTTATTTAAAAATGGGTTGCCAGGGCTGCCAAAAGAAGAAAGAAATGTATTCCTTTATGCATTTTAGAACATCTTTTGCAGGTATGTCAATTAACTATCAAGCAACAATCCAGTTCAGTGAAAGAGTAATCTCATAAACCGCTAGTATATTGAACATTAAAACATTCTTGTTTAGCTGGGTTAGGGTTAACCTTTAGAAGCTTAAAAACCCCACTATAGATAGAGCAAGTCTCTGTGGTACTTGAAAATATGCTGAGTGCTTGGCCTGGCAAATGCTTCAAATTGCAACAGGAAACAGAGCAACTTGCATATGGAAAAATACAGCCTTTGGTGACTTGTGTACATCTGAAATGAAGCCTAAAACTTGTAAAGCGTAAGTGCCTTGCTGACATAAAATGGGAAGGATTTTCTGCTGAGATCATGGGGGCTGGACACAATGGGAGGGGGAAAATCTAGTAAGAACATAGTCTGTATTACTTGTGCTTAGGATTATGTCAGAGTCCACTGG